GTGTGTGCCTGTGTTGGCTGGATTCAGCTCTCTACAACATTTTATTTGTAAAAGACGATCTGATATGGAGAATGTGTAACCTTTGTTGACTTCGTTACAGGAACTGCTGATTTTGTTTTAATCTTTATTTCAGGCACATTTTGGCAGGCCAGCTTAAATTTCTCCAGAAATATTCTAGTTTTAACGTGTTTTACATAAATAGCATTTCTGCGTATTTCCTTTAAATATGTTTCCGCTTTTTTCTGGATGAGGTCTGTTAAAAATGTAATAAAATAAAAAAAACATTGTAACTGAGAGCCTGCACCTTAGCATCTTTACGTTCCCAAAACATTATTTGTCATATTTGAATGCGTAAGCTTGAGGAATAATTACAATATTTTCTGAGCTTTTTGTGTTTGGAGATGTCCAAGCCTTTGTTGATAAGCTGCCTCCAATAACCAGAGGCTGGCCCTCTGGTTAGATGCCTTAGATTTGCTGACCCAGGAGATTTAGGAGCCATTTTAGCCAGATGTGTTGAGAGAACCACACAACATAAATTACAAACAGTATTGCATTTAATTAAAAAATTAAATGTAATACTAATACAAAATAATAGTGAAGGCACAAGAAGCATTTTTTATATTAACACTTCAATATAAAACTTATCAAACTAATACAGTAGGTAATGTGTACGTTAGAACAGGGTAAAGTACTTCCATTGACAATGCATACATCTTACTACGTCTTTTCCACAATCACGTATCTCAGCAGGTTCACAAAATAGAAACTAAAATCAGAACAACAAAGCTTGTGTGTAAGCAGTAAGTCTCTTGGCTGGATGTTTTCGTCAGGATTGGACCTTGGGCTCGGTGAACGTGCGAGTGAAGTTCTATGTCCTCCTGTCTTAGTTTATCTTTCTCTCATTCTGCTGAGATGTTTTGCGTATGCATGTGCGACTCATTGATCCTGTCATCATACTGAGGCATGACTGTACTTTGATGTTTGAAATCATGTCTTCATTACTTTAACAGGAATGCTTATACATAGTTTATATGTCATAGTTGCACTACCATACACTTTCAATATTTATGAGATACAAGACATTTCTCAAAGGATATTGAGAAACATAAAGGAGTGATGTCTTATTTCTTCATACTTCTGAAATAAAATTAAAAAAATAATAAAAACTACAGGTGCCAAAAACAAGTGAGACAACTTCATTGGAAATCATTGACTCCTAGTTGTAAACGTGATAAAATGTATTTCAGCTCTTTTTATTCAGGATGTGCCACGCTTCTAACCTTTCTAAAGGATTTTTAGAACAGTGTTATTGTTATTATTATAGTCATTTCTGGGTATTTTACAATACATTAGAGTCACAAGAGCCAGGAAGCAAAATTTGGAAAGTGACAATGAGCTTTACTGCTTTTCTAAACCAGGGATAGAAAAGTGCATAGATCACAGGGTTCAGAGTGGAGTTGAAATAAAACAGGAAGAGTGAATATGACGCGTAGGTGTCACTGAGCAGATCCTCTCCTGTGAGGGAGACACAATAATACGGACAGTAACATATTAGAAAAACCACCACGAGAACACCAAGAGTCCTGGCTGCTTTCAGCTCAGATTTCTTCGTCATATTCACTGAAAGCTGCAGAGTGACGGCCGTGACGTGAGAGCGCAAGGCGCGGGCCTGAGACACGGCCGCAACAAACACCCTCATGTACAGCACTATGATGACTGCAACTGGAACGGCAAAACTCACAATGAGGTCAACAGTTCCTGCGATAAAGTCAACAGAAATTAGACAGTCTCCCACGCATGATTTATGCCTGCCCGGCTTTACTAAGTCATCTAATACCACAAGACAGCCGTAGATAACAGAACAAAGCCAACACAGACAGACAACAGCTTTAACTCTTGTGTCTGTGACTCTGGTGGGATAACGCAGAGGGTCACAGATAGCCACATAGCGGTCAACTGATATGAGGACCATGTCTCCGACTGAAGCAGAGGTGATGACAAAGGACAGAGAGTTATACAGAGAACAAGCGAGATCGCCGAGAAACCAGCAGCCGGTGTTTCGGATGATTTCTGCAGGCATCAGCAGGAGACCCAGGAGGAAGTCTGAGACAGCCAGCGAGAGGAGGATGGTGTTAGTGGGCGTGTGAAGCTGCCTGGAGAGAGACAGAAAATCAATATCAAATCAATAAATGCTGGTTTTACAATAACACAGCTATGTACAAACAGCAAAAATAATTCAAACAAAACAAGATTGAATTGCTACTTGAAATGGGAGACGGAGATGATGACGAGCAGGTTGAGAGATGCTGTCAGCAAAGAAATAGAAGACAGCATGATTTGAGGGAGCACGGCTTCAGTCCAGGTCCATCCAGGCTTCCTGCAGGAGGCGTTGGTTAACTTTGGAAAGCAGAGCTCTTCTCCAGTCTCTTGCTCCATCTTCAGAGGTGTGCAAAACAATCAGCTGCAAAATCCAACTATATACCTGATGAATGTCAGCTTGTAACTCCTCCCTTTTTTTTCCCTTCAACCTCTCTCCCATTGTGTATTTTGCTCTGTTTGTCAGTATTAGTGAATAGTTTTCTAATATTTGCAGATCATTAGATGCAACGACAAACATTGATGTTAAGACCTGTCACTTCAGTCTGTCTGTGTCTTTCCTTTTAGGATTCTTTTCTCACTGGCAGCAACACCTATATGTGTACACCTTGTCTGGCATTATACATGAACACTAGAAACTTGACTATTTTTTTAGCTGTAATTGCACAGAACAGCCCAGGAGCTGTATTGACTCCAATTTAAAAAGAAGCATTTACTTTCACCTCAAAGGAGGCACAGCGGTTGCAGAAGAAGATTATGTTGAATATAGTCTAGAGATCAAGAATGTGTGGTTTCTGCAGTGATATCGGCTGGCCTTATCCTGACCCTGGACCCGTACAAGTCTGGAATGGAGGGAAGGTCACCCCAAGTGATCCTCTCTGCAGACCTAATTGTTTGTTGAAGTTCAGGCCTTTCCTGTTTTGTGAAAAGACGGAGTGATGGCCGCGCACTGGACAGGCTAATAGAATAAAGCCAGTGTAGAAGATCACCAGCAGCTCCTTCAGCAGGTTGTACTACTTGAGCTGCCTCGGGTTGTACCCGGTCTTTACTGGGTCTTCCTCCGAACAGTGTCTATGTGTGAGACTCACCTGAGAAATGGTGATTCCTAGGAACTGGAAGCGATTCACTTTAAACAGTGTTGTTGAGGATGGTGAGGGCAGACAGTGTGGGTGGAGACAGTGTGCTGTTTGTCATATGCCTCAACACCAGTTGCCCAAAGGATTTCATGATCACAGCCATCATTGTGAAATGTCTTAATTTCATCTTGCTATGGGGTGTTTCTTGGTGACCTGGATGATGGTGAAAGGTTTGAAGTAGGAGGTAACCTCACATAGCTCCAGAGACATGTTAAAGATCTGGATGAATATGGTGGCCTGAGTGCAGGCTTCCAGGAAGAATGATAAAATACCATCATCCTGGGCCTTTCGTGATCTTCTGAATCTGTTAACAAATTTCTCACTAATCCTTGGTGTTAACAGGAGGTGAATGGTGTAATTAGCCGTTTTTCAAACTTGCAGAAGAAGCTTTTGAGGTTGTCAGCAGAGTTTAGCCATATAAAACCTCTTAAAATGAAAATGTTCATACATGTGAGCTGTGGTTTGTCAGCAGAAATTACATTTCTTAAGTTTGTCAGGTTTTTCAATTGTTGTCATTCTGCTGACTATTTCAATCCATGCTGTCAGTCTTCTCCATATCTTATAGTAAACCTTTAACTTTTCACAACAAGCTAACATCCATGTACCAAGACTGAGTGTAGTATGTTCCTGTGTTTTTCCAAGTCTCATAGTCGTTTGGAAACTATACAAAACAATCCTACAAGCTGGCAATCAGCTGAAAGGATTGATATGCTGGACTGACAATGTGCCAGCCTCAGGCAGTGCAATTTTTTTAATATAGCAAACACCATTCAAACAGTGACACACTTAGCAGTCTCTTGTGAAAGTGTAGATGGCTAACATCTCGTCATCTTCCTAAAATATTAGCATATGTCTTTTTTTGTTGTTGTTTGTTTTGCCTAAATCATCTTTTGGCAAAAATTTACCCATGCCATTAATTTAGGAAGGTGACTGTGTCAATATGACATATATGCTACAGTTAAGAACCTTCACAATTTTAGTTGTTTTAAACTTCAAGAGTCAGCTAAAACAGACAGTTTGTCTGATTAGCTGTTAGCCTTCCACTGCTCCAGGGATTGTTTCACGTCTTTTATAAATTCACTGTAACATGGCATAGATCTACCACAAGTAGGGGAACTGCTACCATCACAGAACCTCACTTCAAATTATCTCGTCCTTTTACCTTGTCTAAAGTACCTGGTTTTTTCTACCATATGTATATCTTTAATGGGCCATCACACATTGGAGCTGTGTTATCATCCACTCAGGATGTCAAATATGACAAATCATGGAGCAAAAAATGTCAAATTAGGCTACGTGTATCAATGCAGCTTTATGTACCTTCCACCTCTGTGACAGCAGTATTAATGCATAACCTTATGTTCACTTGGTAATTAGAGCAACAGCTGTTACCTTTAAAACTGCACATTATCAAGGGTCATATTGTATAAGAAATATATATATATATATTTAGGCAGTCTGCTGTGATACCAAAGAGATTTCTAAAGAGCAAGACAGACACTGTCCTGGCCTGCTTGTATTTCAGACCCAGCAGATCAGAAAACACAAGACAAAGCATTTGTAAAACACCTTTAATCTGAATAATTTTTGTTTGGTGATTCTAAAGGCCAGAATGTCTTTAAAAAACATCCAAATCACAAGGTGGAAATGCAACAACAAAACGAATTTAACAAGCTGCCGTCTGCCAATTACGGATGTGGAAAACTCCCAACGACGTCTAGTTTTAAATTATTCCTTTCGTGTTAGTTATGAAACTGTCGTCATAATTTACTGTATGTTGGCCTCACAGGAGCCGGGCTGCAGTATCTGAAAAGTGATGATGAGTTTGGTAGCTCTCCTGAACCAGGGATAAAACAACGCATAAATCACTGGGTTCAGACTAGAGTTGAAATAAAACAGAAATATCACATAGGACGCAGACGAGTTGATAATGTCATCACCTGCAAGGGTGACACAGTAATACGGACAGAAACATATGAGGAACACCACCATCAGAACCCCCAGGGTCCAGGCTGCTTTTAGCTCAGATTTCCTCGTCAGACTAACCGAGAGCTGAAGGGAAACAGCCGCGACCTGAGAGCGCATGGCACGGGCCTGAGAGACGGCCACCACAAACACCCTCATGTACAGCACAATGATGACTGCAACTGGAGCAATAAATGTAACAACAAGGTCAAACGTTCCCAAAATGTAGTCAACCACAATCACACATTCCCCATAGCAGGAGTTATGTTGCCCCGGCTGAGTTAAGTCAGCCTTCACAATGACGCTGCTGTACAGAGCAGAGCTGAGCCAGCAGAGACACACGCAGACTTTAACTTTTCTCTCTGTGACTGTGGTGGAGTAATGAAGGGGGTCACAAATCGCCACGTAGCGGTCCACTGATATGAGCACCATGTCGCCAACTGAAGCAGAGGTGACGATGTATGATATGTAATTATACAAGGAACACATGAGGTCGCCAAAAAACCAACAGGCTGTGTTCCGCATGATTTCACCCGGCATCAACAGGAGCCCCACAAGGAAATCTGACACAGCCAGAGAGAGGAGGAGGATGTTAGTGGGTGTGTGGAGCTTCCTGCAAGGAGACAGAAACACTTCGTTACAACACACTCTACAAATTTTAATTATTTGTCGCTGTTTTGTTCAAGTTAACCCTAGTATGTAGAAATGGGGTCCAACCGACCCCACACACGTACAACTTGTATCATTTGCCATAGTCCTCTACGTTTGCCTCAGTCCTCAAACACACAAGGGTGAAAATGAGACATATTCAGGTTTAGAAATACGATTAGAAATGCTATCATCCCCTGTTCTTCTCATTACAACCAAATGCCATTTTCTGTACAAATGCACAGTTGTAAAAAGAATGAAACCAAAGCAGAAAATGTGATCAAGGAATCTATCTGTGCCTGAAGTGAGAGACAGAGATGATGACGAGCAGGTTGAGAGCCACAGTGAGCAGAGAGATGAAGGACAGTACGGTGCGAAGGAGCACAGTTTCAGTCCAAGAAGATATAGGTTTCTTGCAGGAGGTGTTGAAGAGATGTGGGAAGCAGAGGTCACCTCCAACCTGCATGTCCATCTTTGAAGTCAGAGAGGAGCTCAAGCTGTGGCTTTTTTCCAAACAATTCTTGATTTTATGCCTCCTACCTGCTCACTCCTCCCCTTTGCTACCTCCCTTCTATTGGACACTGATGTCTTCCTGTCTTAATCTTGTATACCATTCAACCATCTTCATTATTGCACCCATCACTCTGAAACAGGGTCATTATGGACTCATCAGACTACATGACCTTCTTACATAGCTCATAATCCAATCTTCATGCTTGCTTGCAAACTAAAGCCTTTTCTCGGGTTAGTCTCACTGATTAGTGGTTTTCTTATGTCAACACAGCTGTTCAGCCCCAGTCCCTTGAGTTGATCATACTTTATTGTTTCACCACACAATAAAGTGATGGTCGATCGTGATCATTCAGGATTTTCTTCTGAGCACATTTCTGTTCTGCCTACACAAACAAATGTGGCTCTTATTAAAACCTCAACAGTTGAGAAATGGAAAAACCCTTGTCTGTAATGGTATCGTAGTGTCTGATCATGAGGACTCAAAGGGACACTGAGTTCAAAAACCAAGTTTCACATATGGATTCCCGATGCATTAGCAGACACACAGCCACCGTGACATAAACATGCCTATATCAGGAAAATAGGTATATGATAATGTAAACTTTGAAGACAGTGTGTGTTGGCCAGGACACTGGAAAAGGGATGCTGTCCAACGATCGGAGGCACTTCATTATGATTGGGCCAAGATTTCCTCGCAATTTGGTCATGCTGACTTAGGCTGCAATATTGTAGATCTGGATGACACAGGCTTTGATCGTCCTCAGGCTCACACCATCAGGGCCTGCAGTTTTTTCAGGCTGGAGCCTCACCAGCTGTCTTCTAACATCTGCCATAGTGATTTGAGGTGACCTGCTGAAGGGTATTAAAGGTCACCGAGTAGAAGAGGATGGAAGGAGGTGTGCATGTGAGAATCACATGGGGATGGAGGACAATGGGGAGGAAGAGGGAAGAGTGGGTGGACAGCAGCAGTGGTGTTGGGAGTGTGGGCTAGGCATGTATATCGTGTTCATTGGCCAAAGAGTTCAATGTCATGAAGAAAATATTGCATGAAAATATTAATATGTAATAATGTCAGTTGGATAGAAATATTGGTATTCATTAAGATTTTAAAATCCCCTTTAAGCTTTCAGTTTTCTAGTCTTAGCAAACTGAAACATTCTAACAAGAGCGAAATTGTTCAGTAAAACTTAACAAGAAGATCAAGTGAGAAGCCACAGACACACTGTTCACGTGACGTTGCCAAGTTGCTATGGATGAGGTAGGTAGGGAGGAGCTGTTGTTGTGATCAGTTTGCCAGAAAGAAATAAAGTGACATAAAGAGGAGCTACAATCACAGAGCTGTCTCGGCTCTGATCTTTCATGGTCTCTGATGATGGAGGTTCATGATGAAGAACTTTGCTTTCCACAACTCAACACCTCCTGTAGAAAACCAGCAGTTCCATGGCTCAAAGCTGTGTTTCTGCAGTCTGTTCTCTCTTTCAGCTGTGTGTTTTCTGTGACTCTCAATCTACTTGTTATCATTTCAGTCTCCCATTTCAGGCAAGGGAACATATATTTTCCTTTGTATGATGATGATTTTCCCAACAGGAAAGCAGCAACTGTTTGTCATGATTTTATTGATTAAAATTAAACAATGCATACAAACTGTAGACAGATATTAGTTTTACTTGGTCACTTTTACACCTTTCAGTGCTTTTGTTTATTATTCTAATTTCCTCCCCAGGCAGCTTCACAAAACCACCAACTTCCTGCTTCTGTCTCTGGCCATATCAGACTTCTTGGTGGGCCTTGTTGTTTTTCCAGGTGAAGGTAGCAGACTAACATCCTGCTGGCTTCTTGGTGATGTCATGTGTTTACTGTACATACACATTGTCAGTATGATTGCCTGTGTCTCAATTGTAAATGTTGTACTGTTATCAGCTGACCGCTATGTAGCTATATGTTACCCTCTGCATTATCACAGGAGAATCACTGTGGCAAGAATACGACTGTGCATCAGTCTGTGCTGGATTTATTCAGCTTGCTACAGCATTACATTTGTGAAGGATGGCTTCAGTGGAAAAAAGGCTTCTTGTCATGGAGAGAGTTTGGTTTTAATTGACTTCAGTGCCGCAGTTTTAGATCTTATTGTAGCTTTTATCACTCCAGTTACAGTCATCATAGTTCTCTACAGCAGAGTGTTTGTAGTGGCCGTTTTTCAGGCTCGAGCCATCCGCTCCACTGTTACAGCTGTGTCCCTGCAGCGTTCAGCAACAGTAGGAAAATCCGAGCTGAAAGCAGCCAGGACTCTTGGTATTTTAGTCATTGTGTTTCTGATATGTTTCTGTCCATTTTACTGTGCTGCTCTAGGAGGTGATGTCTCATTTAACACGTCTGCTGCTGCGCTGTGTCTTTTCTGCATTAGCTCTTGTCTTAACCCTTTAATTTACACCATATTTTATCCCTGGTTTAGAAAAGCAATTAAACACATTGTGACACTGAAGATATTCCAGCCTGGCTCCAGTAAGGCCAATATACTGTAGAAAAATATTCAACTGTGTAAGTAAATAAAACCTTCTTCCACGTGTTAAAAGTCCTCGAAGCATTTATTTATAATATGAATTGAAAACCAGTCCAGTAAAAAGCATTCACCCACTTGGATGGCTTTCCTTTTATATTGTTTTTACAAATAATAATAATAATAATGATCAACAAAATTGGGCTTTAAACTTTGTTTTTCCAAAATGTCTCTTTCATTTGGATGTAGCTGAGAACCAGATGTCTCAGCTACATCTGTTTCTGAACTAGGAACTGGAACATCCTCCACCTCACAAACAGGGTAAACCTTTTCTCCTGCTATGTCATTGCCCATTATAAAGTGAACACAATTAACGGGGAAACACTGACACACAGCAACTGGGAAGACTCCAGAAACTAAACGGGTTTCATGATGAAAGGGCGCAGGCAAACGGCACATCCCAACCCCTCTCACAATGTTACTTGAATTAAAAGTAGACTTCTTGTCACAAGGCAACAGCCTTCTGAGTGGATCGATGGTGTGCAGAAGGATCACACAAACTAAAAGACAACTTATGTATCAAAGAGAACTCACTGGCCAGAAAGGCAGCTGGCTGTGAGGTGTCAACTTTTTTGTTCATTAAGGTAAACTGGTACACAGGTACATCGTTTTAAAACTCTTCAAGCAAGATTAGTTCTCGAAGGGAAGCTTGATCTTTAATTTCACATGCTTCACACCATCGATCAAAAAACAACCCTTTATCCTGTGCAAAGTCAACACAAATTTGGCTCATGGTCTTTCTAAGTGTGTTGCACAGGGGAAAATATGATTCTTTTCTTTTCCTTTTTTGTTGTGCTTTACATGTTTGGATTGTTTTTGTTTTCCTCTTTAACAACCCAAACACACTGGGCTGAAGGCGGCCGTTTGAGGAGGAGGAGCGCACTGATTGCGTCCCGTAATCAGTGCGCTCAGGTGTCAGCAGAGGCTGATTGAAGCCAGAATAAAAGGAGCCTGGATGGAAGGAGAAGTGGAAAGACTGATCCTGTAAGTGACAGAGATGGATACGCTGCCGAGCGAGGGGCGGACGGAATCCGCACGCCAGGCGCAGAACACCGAGGTGAACCGACGGCCCAGTACAGAGGAACAGGGCAGAGGGGAACCGCTGCCCGCGCCTGTAAGTAACGCTCCGTCTCGATCAGAGAGTATTGGCAGGAAATACGTCTCTCAATGGTGTCTTGGTGCGGGGATGCTGGCGCTTTCCCTGCTTCTTTCTTTTAGCTGGATCGGTCTGAAAAGGGGCGTGGCACGCCGAAGAGCGGAACAGAGCTGGAGCGTCGCAGAGTCAGCTCGGGATCGGCAAGTGAGCACCCGGCAGGTGGATCGCCTTCACCTGGAGCAGCGTAATAAGTGGAACCCAACTGATGGCCTCGGATTGGTGACTTTCTTTTAAGGACAATTACTGAACTTTGGATTTTATTGAGAAGAAAAGGACTGTTTTTATTGTCATTATTAAAAGTTACTTTCTTTGTAAATAAAATATTTAAAATTTGATTGTTTTGCTATTTGGGTTTTTGAGTTGTTTGCTCCCCCTTGTACCAAGAACAAAGTTTGGGGCCATATTGGTCACAAGTGCATGAAAACACTGCCTATAAGCCTCCAACACCAACTCGTATGCCTGCAAGACTGCAGATTTATAAAACATAAGTATTATAAATCTTCCTCCATGAAAAGCGAAGCGTAGGGTTCCTGAGCTTTACCTGTTAGCATACACTGCACCAGTACTACCCACACCTGGCATGGCCAGTTTAATGCCAAGGCAATCCTTTCAAAAACTCCAAAGTAGCTTTCAACCTCGGATTCACAAAAAACAGGAACCAAAGGAATGTTTTTTTGTGAGGCTGGAGATACAATTAATTGTGACTCAACCAGAGGGCCTGGACCAGCCTTTAGCTCGAGCTCCCACATCCTAATAGCAGTCTCTGCTTCAAGCTTCTTTAATTCCAGTTCTCTGTGAAGCTGAAATTCCCATTCACAATCTTTTTCCAGCTGAAGGCAAGTGAGACGAACCCTCAACCGAGCCTCCATTCTTGACCAAGCAGATGATTCTGCTGAAAAGAGATCATATTGTGGTAATATAGTAGGTTTTTCTTCCAACCTACTAACTTTAGGAGTCACATTATTGGATGGTGACTGAGAACTCCTTTCTTGTGGAAACCACCGTGTCATCTTCATCAAAAGCCTCAACTTTCAAGCGAGAATCCTCCATTGATTCTGGAACACTTTAGATGCCACTGCTTGTCAAGTATGGTGCATAAAGCTCTTTCTTAACCATAGCACTAGAAGATGGTATGCTGAAATGACGAGCTATGTCCC